ACATTAATTTTATTTATTTAGTTATTTTTAAACATGGCACAAAAATGCTGCCTTATAGGCTACTGAACGCAAACATAATTTTGGCACATCAGCCCAAAAAACAAACAAACAAAAACAATTATAATAAAATAAAAAAACAAACAAAAAAAGTCAAAAATAGTGAGGGGATATTTGAATTATTTGTTAATAAACTAATGTTTTCTGAGTCAATATTGACTCATCCGTCCTCTTTGGACGTGCCTTTACAGAGAAATGCATCTTTACGGATTACATAATGAAAGAGTTTTTGTTTATATTAATAAAGTAAGCATTAAGAATAGCTTTTATATTGTTACTAATATTTCAAGGTGGACATCTACTAGACTGCAGCAAGATAGGTTTACCTGATAAACCATTAAATTTGTTTCCATGTTAAAAAATTTCAACAGGGAAATCACGCGGTGGCGGGACATGCTTTTACATCAATGAGAGGTGGTGTACAGATGTAACTGTGTTAAAGAAGATGTGCTGTTCAGATCTAGAAGTAACAACTACATGAAATCAACACACTTAGGTTTAGGGTTGATAAATGTGTTACCCTGCCTGTGAAAACCCAGCTAAAGTCTTTTTTGTGTGCGAGTGATTAACTATTTTCTACATAAAAGCATATGTATCATCTTCATAAAGATGTAGAATATTCTGTGGAAATATAACCTTTATATCTATAATATTGACTGAGTAAGGCCATGTCAAAGATTGAAATTAATGCTTGTTATCTCATAATTAGATGTTGAGGCTTTAGCCTGCATGCCACAGTCAGGGTCACATATACAGCTTGTGCTGACAGACCGATGCAAATAAGATGATGGTTGCGTAGTACAAAGTATTACTAATTATTTCATAGTACTACCATTGTGCATGTCTAAAAAATCCTGGTATTTACACGGACCATGAAAAGGAAGAGTGTATAGTGAATGTTTGACTGACCATGGTGTGTTTCAGTCAGTGCGCTCCTCAGACAACAGTTCTCCCGCCTCAGGCGCTCAAGCTCCTGCTCATATTCAACGATATTGTCTTTGAGAGCGTGAAATATTTCTTCAGCTACTGCTGTCATGCGCTTTATTAAAAACGAATGAATAGACACAAGTCCCATCTTGATCTTTCTAGTTACAAATTCCTCCGTCTATTTGCTGCTGCTTCTTCTTCTGTGGTTTTTATTTGGCGTTTTGCAAACGAAGTACATTACCGCCATCTGCAGGACTGAAGTGTGAACTCATTGGGATATAACATTTTAACGTCTACTCTGTGTGTGTATATATATATATATATATATAAATTAAATTGTGTTTACAAGCCGAGTTTCTTTCAGAAAAGCCATGACAGTCTTAATTATATACTGCGTGCCAGGCAGACTCAATACGTTTTTTTAAAAGAAAGGTGGGGCATAGAGGAGAAACATAATGTACAGTATGTGGAAAATAATGTGTTTTTTGAACCGCATAAACACATTTCCTTACACCAAATACACAAAATAATGTTTTTTTTTAGCAAAATCATATGACCCCTTTAAGAAGAAGGAACGTTAGTTAAGAGACAGAAGAAGAGTTGAGCACGATGGAATAAGAGTCATTGTGTTAATTTTTGATTAAGCGCATGATGGCAGCAGCCGATGAAATATTTGACTGTGTCAAAGAAAATTTGACTGAATATAAGAAAGGAATCGAGTGTCTAAAGCAGGAGAACTATTGTCTGAGGAGGAGAATCTGCAGCTGTGCAGAAACATGCCATGGTCAGTAACGCTAAGTTAGCCTATATGAGTTACACAATAACTCTTATGACAGTTTTCAAGTCATATTCCTTTGGGGGAAATACTTGGTGTTACTATGTTTGTGACGTAAACAATATTAGTACCATGGTATTATTTTAACTAACTTAGAGTAACTGTCATGTTACTCCAAGGTTTCCACATAATTATCATGTCATATAAAAGCGCCTCAATGTTTTTGCAGTAGAAAACTAATCTAATGCCTCTTGTCATCCAGATACTCAGAGAGATGGAGTTCTGCAAGTTCCGATGGGTTCAGAGCTCTCAGAAATATGAGTGAAGTTGGAGTTTGCCAACCATGAGCCCCATGAGCCTTTGAGTCAAGCCTCCTTCAATACTTCGCCCCTTTCTGATGGGGTCTCAGGGCAGGAATGGCCCTCAGTGCCTCTCACTTCTGCCAGAGAATAAAGATAGTGGTGGCACAGATCATGAGTTACACAATAACTCTTATGACAGTTTTCAAGTCATATTCCTTTGGGGGAAATACTTGGTGTTACTATGTTTGTGACGTGAACAATATTAGTACCATGGTATTATTTTAACTAACTTAGAGTAACTGTCATGTTACTCCAAGGTTTCCACATAATTATCATGTCATATAAAAGCGCCTCAATGTTTTTGCAGTAGAAAACTAATCTAATGCCTCTTGTCATCCAGATACTCAGAGAGATGGAGTTCTGCAAGTTCCGATGGGTTCAGAGCTCTCAGAAATACGAGTGAAGTTGGAGTTTGCCAACCATGAGCCCCATGAGCCTTTGAGTCAAGCCTCCTTCAATACTTCGCCCCTTTCTGATGGGGTCTCAGGGCAGGAATGGCCCTCAGTGCCTCTCACTTCTGCCAGAGAATAAAGATAGTGGTGGCACAGATCCACAGTCATCCATCACGGTTAAGTCAGAGCAGTGTGATGAACTTCTAATAACTGAACAAGAGCCGTCATCTGTTCAGGGTGACCTTGAATCCTTTCAAGGGGTCTTACGAAGGCAAAGGAGAAAACGCCAGGATGCACTTTGCAAGATTTGCGGCAAGCCTTTTCTCAAGCCAGAACGAGAGACCTTTCTGCTGTGGATTGTGTGGGAGTCGTTTTAAATCCAAATACACCTTGAAGGAACACGAGAGAATTCATAAAGGTGATTATCGCTACAGCTGCCCGAAGTGTGGAAGGGGTTTTTCTCTATCAAATCATGTCAGAAATCACCTCAAGGCAGCTCGCTGTCTTCGCTCTTCATCTTCCAGAAAATAAATACTACATGAACACAATATTAGATTGCACACTGATGTGCAAACTAATATATTAAAGCAAACAACAGAGAACTCTTGCTTTTCTTCCAAAGGATGTGATTTAAAATATTAAAGAATATCTATACGTTCAAATTCTGGTTCAGAACAAACAGTCTGGCTATCTGCGTGAATTCAGTTTGACATGTTTTCAAATATTGAAATGCAAATATTGGTTGCATGCAGGATGTTAGTTTTTCTTATCCATCAAAACAAAAATCAGCAGCACCTTGTTTTGTTTTATTATGCTTAATTATAAGCAATGCAAATAAGAGCCTCATCAGTTCAATATCTATACTGAGTTGTTGGATTTCAGAAATGACTGTGAAACTCTGGTTCTGTGATTTCTTGGTCAAATTGTTGCATTAAAAAATTATAATCCACGTTTTCCAATGCTATGCAGCTGTCCATAGCTAGATGTTCACAACATTCGTTATAACAGTTTTAAGTGATGACAGTGATTCTGTTATATACTCTGTTATATGTTCTGTTATACCTCATGGCGATTTATGATATATGATCTATTATAGCATGTCTATGTTAACAAGAAAAAGTTGATATCTGCATCTTATATAAAGGATGTTCTGGTAGTTTCAGTTTTTTGGGCATAATAAAAACAACATTCTATTAAAATGTTCTTCGTATTAAATCTGACTGTTCTTAACATTGTCATATTTGTTAAACTAATCTAATGATTTGATGTTCACATAAATAATATTACAATCACACAATGTTGCCTAATTTTAATTTAATCTTAATGTGTGCACACTTTATATTTCTGTAGCTCATTTAGTAGAGCGTGGTGCAAACAACGCCAAGGTCATGATTCCAAAAGGTCGAACTTCAATAAATAATGCCGTGTAAGTCTCTGAATAAAAGCATATATGCCAACCCTTACCAAAAAGTAGTATACTTCAAGTTTATTTTATTAAGTATACTTAAGTAAAGTTCAAGTATATTTTTAAGTATACTTTATGTAGCAAGTATACAAATATCAGTGTACTAGTAGTATACTTGTGAGTGTGCTATTTCAATACTCCTTGGGACTAAATTGGCCCACTTTCAAGTATATAAAAGTATACTTTAAGTATAACAGTGGTAAAATTTAAGTACACAACTAGTTTACAACAATATTTGAGCTTGTACTGCAACTATATTAAAAGTGAACTTATATGAATACTGATAGTTTTCTAATTAAATACTTGTAGTAGCATTTTTAGTACACTTTGAAGTATAGTCTCAGTAAACTACTAGTTTAGTAGTTTTATACTGCAAGTATACTCATAAGTTTTCTTTAAGTGAACTTTACATCATACTTTAAGTATACTACT